AATAAACCATGACCCTAAGAGATTCTAGTCGTGCTATGTTGGGCAATACAGACTTGAGGAGTTCAAACAACTGCTAGAATTATATTTTTCTAAGCTTCCCTTCACAATGGTAGCTCTGCTATTAAAAACAGTCAATAAGGAAAAGTAACAGCAAGTCATATTCAGAAGAAGAAATACATATTACCTACTTGCATCAAATAAAAACATTTTATTGGAAAAATAGACTTACGAGGCTATACAGAAATATTAATACAGATGTTAAGAATTAACATGACAAAGGGATTAATAACTGTAAACAGAGGTAGCACTAAGTCAGATGTAAACCATTGCAAAAAATAACCAACACTGACATACTCACTTTTCTGCCAGTTTTAGCAACTCTGCTCCTGAAGATCCATTCACCTTCCCACAAAAAAAGAGACTGAAGTTAGCAAAAAAATGCATTTATATTCATCCTGAGTAAATTTTTTTTTAAAGTAAACCAGACAGGTAAAACCTAAATGTTTTACCCCAGTGATCAGTCTGAATTAGTACAGTTCCTTACTACACTCAATTAAGAAAGAATATTAATTACTCAGTTAAATTCACAGTATCAAAAAACTTCCTGTGACAAATAATTACAGATAAAACACCTTCCTAATAAATTCCAGAATTTACTTTCCCTTTTGTCATCTTTTACTCACTATCTCAAATCCCAGTTTTACTTCCATTCATTAGCAGAAGCTTTTGGAAACTGCTTTCTTAAAAGCACTTAAAAATATTTAACATATTCACTTAATGTGTATTTATTTAACTGTCTTTAAATATCATTAAGTAAAGAAAAATAAAACTTCATTTGCACATGATGAGAGGTTACAATTTAACACAGGTTTTTCCTTTGATAATACATAGTAAATCCTGACAAAGCAGCTCTTTTCCTCAACTGTAAGAAGCATTTATATTCAGAGATTTTTACCCTACCATTGGTTCAAAGTACCTGACTTAAATATTGTTCTATTTTATAAAAGACCTGACCTTAAATTTGTTTGATAACCAAGACACAGGACTCGTCTGATGTAGTCACAGATTGTAAATCAAAAGCTGACTGAGCCAACCAGCTGATCCTGGTTTTAGTAAGGGCAAAAGGTAGAGGATCTACTGTCCCTACCCTCTAAGGGACAGAAGAGTTACTAATTCTGAAGCCACTTTTCATCTTGCTGTATTGGATGGTCAGTTGTATCATCAGAAGCACCTTCCTGGCACTTTCACAGTAACTGTCTCAACTTTTCTTCATTCTCTACTCGGGGACTTTTGCTAAAGCCTTAAAAATTCACACCAGTGGTTACATGTACATTAACAGTTCCTTGGCCAACTCCCTGCCCTCCTTCCCACGTTACAGAGAGGGTGCTCCATCTGCTCTCACACTGCCCCCACAGTCCTCTTTTTTTTCTAGAACAGAATCTGAATACTTCAGTGTTTTTACATACTGTAAGGGAGAGAATTAGATTAAGCAAGACATGAAGCATCACACAGTCTTCCTCAATTCACTTCACTGCTGGCCCCTCATGACCAACCCTTGCCCCAGGTTGGATCATTCCTTCTGCCAGACCTGTCCACAGCTGGGGAGCATCTGAGCCACCCACAGCGCCCACTCCCACACCTGCTTGTCCACAGCTCACCCACCTCTCACACGTGCAGAGATTTAGGTACTTGACAGCAAGCCTCAGTTTTTTAGACCAACAGCAAATACCAGAAGCTAGATTCGAATAAGGTTTTCATGTGGGCTTTTTTATTTTTTTCCATTTTGACAAACACAGTAGTGTCCCTGCCCTGGTGTCTGCAGCTGTTATGAAACTGTTAACTGAACACAACATTCAAAAAGCAACACATTTCAGATAAGTGCCACTGAAGATGAGAGCAAACTTACACATTGTGCTGCTCTGTCAGTCAAACCACCTCCAGCATCCCAACACACATCACTGGCAGCAGGCACCACCACCCATATTCAAGCTCCATTACATTATCAGGCAGCCAGGCTGATAAATACCCTCCCTTTTTTATCACTGTTGGACCTCACTGAAACCAGCAAGCATTATCACCAGTATTCTGACAAAGAAAAACACAAGCTGGAAAGAAGGCAGAGATACACTATCACAAAAGTCAACATATGGACATAAAAAAAATATACACCAGAAAACGAGCAACTATGGAGGTGGGGAAAAAAATCTCATTCACATTTAGAGGAATTAAATGAAGGAAGGTAATCAGACAGAATCAACTACCAAGTACATCGCTCAAAATGATGGTAAGGTGAACAAGTAGAAGACTAATTTTATAAAGAAGACTAAACAGAGAAATTTTAGCTGGGACTAATGAGATAAAGCTGGGATGTATCTGAAAATAGCAGAAGGAAAAAGGATGCTTAAAGGGAGGAAAATGCATTTCCCAGCATCTTGAGCACATTTCATCTGCTTCCATAGAAAAAGAAAAAAATCCATTGCTTAACGCAGCTTTAATAACAACCATGAAGAATATAAATTCCTAAGGTCAATATGAGAATATTCCATTAACAAAGATTCAAGAGATCAAATCTCAAGTTTATTATGCTGTATTCAGATTCATCTGTTCTCTCAATAAGTACAAAGGTGTTGTAAAACAAATAAAAAAAAATCTGTTCCTGTTTCACAGCTATCAACATTGCCACTATTTTCTATTAGCATGTACAGTAAAAGTAGTTGATATGTCTTCAACACAATGACACATAACCACTTGCTATATTATTTTAAACAATCTCTTCCTCATTTTAATCAGAGGTGACTGTTTTACCTAAAGCAAGGTCTTTATTTTCTCAAATGAGTACGCTCTGTGAACGCAGAAGCCATTCTATAAATGCAAAACAAGCTGCTCTACTGCGATTATCACAGCCCTTTGTCTGTATGTATATATGTATAATTTGTGATGCAGTGAGGGCTACTTCTCAAGTAGATTACATAGGTCACTTCAGATTTTTTTGCACGTCTGGGTTTTCTTTATCAATTACTATTTTTTATTCCTTTTTGCTTTCTAAATAATACGTGCTAAAAATCCTTGATGCATTTGCAAAAGCATTCCGGTATTCTGAAATATTTTGTACACAATTCTTGTCTGTTTACACTTACTTGAGACATCACTCTTCATCAAGGCTAGAAACACCTACTTCTCCAGGACTCACAATTTTCTAGTGTGTGTTATCATCCTTCTGCAGAATCTAAATTTTTGTTTCCAAAACATACAGCTCCCTAATCCAGGTGGCTACATCTTGCCTTATGTGAACAAAGCATAAAACCAATGCTGTGCCATAAACCCCGAGACAGGCAGCTGCCATGTCTCCCATGCCACAGGGATATACCTGGGTTCATAATATTACTCTGACAAACAGCAGACTGACAAATGTGGACCAGTTCTGTCTCTCCTCTGCTTTGGAAAGCTCTCAAAAACTTTCTCAACCTCCCGTCGTATCTGGGACAGGCAGAAAACACTGAATAGACACAGTTGTACTTGTAAGATGAAAAGCAGAAGTGTAAGAGTAGAGGAGAAAAATCCAACACCTCAGGAAACAAAATAATATGAAGAGGGCATGAAGAAAAAACAGAGATTCAAAGACAGTCCAGCTCTCCCTAATGGCAAATATTAGGCTGTAAGACTTTCAAAAGCAAACAGAAGTATGACTGCAACAAGCCTAGGCATATTCATGTAGATACCAAATCACTTGAGAGAAGCAGCTTTCTTCCAATCTTTCCCAAAGTGTTCACGATCACTTTGACTTAAGAAAAAAAAAAATTATTTTAAAAAATCATTGACCACAAAAGTCAAACTAACTCATATCTCAAAAGGAAAAATAGCCAGACATGCATAAACTGAATAAAATTATTAAGAGCAGCAGCATTCCAATGAGGATTTACAATCCCATCAATTCCGTTTTCTTACCACATCATGCCAATACGTCACTGGGAGCAAGAGAAATGGAGACAACGCGTTGGGGGTCATATTAATCCAGTGACTGATGTATTAGCACTTTTTTTTTTTTTTTTTTGCCTGACCACCTGCAGTTACCAAGCTGTCCTTCAGTTACCAGTGCCAGTGCCACGAAAAGAATATTCTACCAGGCTGCAATGGGGCTGCTGCGCCCGCGCACCATCAATGCAAACAAGTGAACAGACCTCCGCCTCCTGCGTGGCTTTGTCTTGCGGCACACGTGAACAACAAAATATGTCAGCTCTCCATACTGCTGTCGTAACAGGACAAAACGGCAACGCTCTCAACAATTACTGCTGAAAGTATCGACCGGTCCTGCGTATTTCACACGGGGGAAAAAAAATCACTGCATCAAACCGTCCTCACTGCTTGCACCGGTTGCGTGAGTCGCCACGTCTTTTCGTGTATTTCTGACCGTCTTGGTTCCCCTGAAGTCCCAGATATCCCAGACAAAGAATTTTACAGGCTACTCTTGAAAAGGGGTCGGTGGCCCCCGGGGCGCCCCGCAAGGACCGAGCGCACGGTTGTGCGCTCGGTCCTTGCGGGGCGCCCCGGGGGCCGCGCCATCGGCTGGGGCAGCGCGCAGTGCCCCGCTCGCCCCGCGGAGGGGACGTGCGGCCGGACACCGGCCCCGCTCCGCGCCCCGCCGCTCACCCGCGTCCAGCTCCTGCAGCCCCGCCGCTCACCCGCGTCCGGCTCCCGCGGCCCCACACCTCCCGGACAGCACCGCGCTCCCGGGGACGATCCCGGTGCCCACACCTCCCGGACGGGGATGCGGCTGCACCTCCACCACCGCTTCCGGCGCTGCCGCCGCGTCAGCGGAACCCCCACCCTGCCGGGGCCGCCTCCCGTTGGCCGCAGCCTTGACGGGCGCCGCGCGTCGGCGGAAGCGCGCCGGGATCGGGCAGGGAGGGGGGGAGAGCGGGAAAGCGACGAGGAGGGAGAGAGCGAGCCGTGAGCCCCGAGCGGTCCCGTCGGACCTGGCTGCGCATCTCCCGGTGCCGCGCCGCGGGATGGGCTCCCGCGCGGGCTGAGCCCGCCGAAGGCGGGGGCACCGCGCCCGTGGCAGCGCTCGTTTACAGCTCTCTCGCTTCGGGCTTTCGCGGAGGAGGAAGGGACGAAATAAGCAGCTGGTCGGTGGCGGTGCTGTGGTAAGGGAACCGCGGGGTGATGTTACGGCCGAAAGCTTTAGTGCGGCGTGTGGAGGTTCCTGAGCAGTCTGTGGTTCTGCTGCCTTAGCGGGGGTCCTGCACGTACCGAGCCCTGAAATGGAGTCAAGTCTCTCAGCTGGGGTTTGAGGAGGAAGGGCCGTCACCAAGTGAGCTACCCTGCTCTGTCCCTCCTGGGTGAGGTTCTGGGCGAGACCAGATGCGATCTAACCAAGCAGCTCTTCTCCCGTCTTGGCTATGCTGGAAATCGCTTTAAAAAGACTCTGCTAAGAAAGCGCTTAAGGTGGTCCCTGCTGGTGGTCTGGTGCCCGCTTACTTAATGTCCCTAAGTTTTTGTAGTTAGATTAGTGGACAAGAGTGGTTCAATTTAAACGGATCCTTTTTATGTTCCTCTTTGGCTTGGGCAGACTGTATTCTTTCTTTGCTGATAGCATTAACTTTATTTACCAGATTCTGATCCTGTTTGATATTTCCTCTGTGCTGTTTAAGTGACTATGAGATAAAACAGATTATGCTCTGACAGCTTATTCCATGCCCCCCTCTGTAGGACAGAATTGTAGCAAGGGGTTAATACCCATGTCAGGAACCAAGGAGAACATGAGTTTGGTTTCCTCCTTTACCACAGACATTTGATTATAAGCCTGAGCCAAACTCCTCTGAAACTAATGGTTTGTTGATTTGGGTCTAAACTCTGTTGATGCTATTAAATCAGGAATAAAATACTGTGTTTTAAGGATCGAGATAGAAGACCTCATATTAGTTGGCCTGAGTGAGCAAGCCTTGAGAAACTTATTCACAAATCACTTATGCTACTTTAATTGATTGAATTATAAATCTGACCTTGCTGCTGTGCACTTAAACACACAAATTTGTGCTTAAGTTGAAACACTTATGTTAAGTCATGAAAGTATGAGTAAATTTACACTTCACTTGATGCTTCAGAGGCATCTGAACAATTTTGCTGGTGTCCTTATCTGTTCTGGGACAGAGTAGAAAAGCCAGTTACTGAAATTAATCACTGTCTTTTCTTGTGATGTCCCTAGCGCTCGTGACAGATGCTGCATTAAGCATATTGGATTCAAGCAAAACATATTCATCTACCTGATCTATTTCTCAGGAGACTTAATCATTGCTGACAGATGGCTCTTGTCAAAGAATGGCTTCTTTTAGTTCAAGTTGTTAGAAAAGACAAAAAAGATTGAATTCAACAAGTCGTTGTAATGAGAGACAACTCTATTCTCAAAGTCAATATGTAAAAATTATGAAGAAGGCATTAATATTACAGAGAGGCTATTACATTAATGAGAATTTTGCTCAGTCCCATGGGGATAATGTACTGGCTTTCAGCTGATGCTTTAAAATTAAGTTACCAGGCAATACCTTAAAGATCAGGCAGTAATCCAGGATAAAAAAGAAATGTTTTGATTTGTTGGAGAGCTCTAGCAAGATATAGAAGTCAGGCTGTACATGACTCTAAGGTGAGTCTCCTGCGGCAATTAGAAAGCTCAGATGTTGTTTTTTGGTTGGTTTGTTTGTTTTTTTTTTCTTGAGGTCAGGGGATATTTACTGTTTTTTCTTGTCAGCTGAGCAGAGAGACTGGTGATCAAGGAAAAGGAATGTGATGAAAATGTTAAATTTTTATTGGACAATTCTATGAAGTCAGAAAATTCCTGAAATAGAAGGCCTCTCAGCCTTGTAATGATGAGTCTCCAGATGACACATCTCATCTAGAGATTTGACTTAAAGCTTGAACTGCATTTTTTTTACTCCTCCCACTAAAAAACATCAGATAGTAAATGGCGATAGCCCTACAGTTACAGTACTATGTCTTCTATTAAAGTTGTACCTGTCCAGTGAGCCAGACGTTAAAAATAAGAAAACTTTACCCAACAGTCCTAAACATTACAAATTGCTAAAAATATTTGGGCAGTTGGAGCAGGAAAACTGTTACACTTAAATATGTTCAGGAGACTAGAAACAAAGTTCAACCTCAGCTGTCTGGCAACCAGCACTCCAGGGTGCAACTCTTCCAGCTTGCTTCTGGAAAAAGTAGTGTGTAGCTGTAAATGGTCGTTCTGTAGGCTGCCTTCATTAATAATGTCGTAACAACTGAGCTATTAGGCCTGCAGTAATCCCTGCATGATGTATCACCTCCTCTTTGGAGGTTTGCACTGTGGTGCTGTGGAATATTCAAGCTGACTGCTCTCCAGCCGTGCTGTTCTCCCCAGCACCTGCCCATTACAAGGAGAGCTGCTTTATCTCCTGTTACAGGGTGCTCCAGCTTCTCTTGTCATTTAGGCAGAGTGAAATTGCTGTCTTCAGACACTTGAGGGTCACCTCTTCTGTTTTCTCCTCCACTGCTGAATATATTAGCACTGGCAATTTACTATGGTGCAGCATTAAGGTCAATCTTACCAAGTCCTTCTGTCCGCTGTACATCTGGATAACTTCACTTCAGGCCATCTATTCGCATGGAATGTTGCCAAGTCAGTTTGGTTAGGCTTGGCAAGGATACTGATGCCAAGCAGAAGGGGATTTGGGATAATGAATCCAGCCTGCATAACACCAGATGCAATGTGTGGCCTTTATTGGAAATTTATTCTGTTTTCATTTGCTTAACCTTTATGTTTCCATTTTTCCTCATGCCAAAAAACCAGGCTCTGAACACTGAGAACCTCAAAATTCAATCACTTGGAAACTGCCACTCAAATGAATTGTGATACAATAAGCATGTCAGGAAAAAGAAGCAAAACACTTGGATAATCAATGCCTGTTGGGAATATCAGGTCTTCAGATGGCTGAATCATGAAATGCCTGAAAACATCAGCTGGATTAGAGTATGATATTAGTTACTTTGTTGGCACTTGGCCAAGCAATCTGTTCAGACTAGCTGCCCAAGAAGTCCCATAAGAAACTCTGTGCTGTAGCAGATGTTGCTTTTAATACTTCAGGCTTTTATCCCATGATCAGCTTTTGTCTACATTTTAAAAATTAGTTGGTCTTGGTGAAGAAATGGCTTGATCCTCAGCTAGAAATAGGCTAGAAACGCCAAGAAGCAGTAATAAGGCTGTAGGAAACTGGACAAGGCGGTAGCAATTGGGCTGTGTGGGTAGTGGATTTGCTGTACTATTTGGTGTGCTCTTTCAAAAGCGCCATGTTTTGATCTTAAATTTTACTCACTTAGCTCTTGGCCTGAACTGTGGCTACAGAATGGATCAAAGAGAATGTTTTACACAGACCTTACATCGCTTAAAATTTTGGGAAATGTCCAAATGGGAAGAAAAACAGTGCCTGTTCTTTCTCTAGTTAGTTCAGTTACTTTTCACCTAGTATTAGAAGATATGTATGTGGTTATAACAGTATTTTTTAATTGATTCATTGTTTCCAGACATTCTCAGTTTCAAGACCGTAGAAAAGATTGGAAATTAAAATGGCTTTGAAATTTCCTCGTTTCCTGTGGGATCAAGCTGCTTAATTAGGAGGAGGAAGGGAAGTGCTTCTAGGGAGAATGCTGTCTTATAGTCAGCTGTGGAATACGCTTGCAGTTCTAGAGGAGTGTAGAAACCTGAGCAATAGCTACAAGAGGAAATGCATGCTGCTCTAGCGTCTTACTACCTTGACTTTAAAATATATCTCTCTCCCTCCCTGCAATAATTAGGGCTCTGCTTTAGGGAAGCTTTTTTTTCCCCTAACCTGTTTTGTGTCGAATGCAGCTGAACTGATAATTGTATAAAGAATCAGATCATGCAGGTACTTGAACAAAGGTCAGTAATTTCACATACATATGGCTCACATACAACAAAAATATGTTTGGATCAGGAGAGGAAGAAGGAATGTATGTCTTCTGTAGCACATGAAGGGAAGCACTAATTCCATGTAAAATGATGTAAGGAGATAAAGGGAAATGAGAGCTTTGCTTTTCTACAACTTTGTCATGGCTGTCTGGGCTAGGTTTGAAATACAACTGAAAGTCTTGGAGCTGTTTTTTAATTTATTTCTCCGCCGAATACAGTTTAACTCTTCTCTCTTTCTTCTGTTATCAGAAAAATGAGTGGTGGGTTGGCACCAAGCAAAAGCACAGTGTATGTGTCCAATTTACCCTTTGCTTTGACAAACAACGATCTGTACAGGGTAAGTTTTAAGAGCTGCGTTGTTTAGATTTAATTTGCTGACAACAATTTTGAGTGTAAAATCAATACTGATATATATCAGTTTGTCATGATAAATTTATTACTAATGAAATGCAATTGTCTGTTGCTAAATCTTTTCATTTTGTTTTATATTTCAGATATTTTCAAAGTATGGGAAAGTTGTCAAGTAAGTGACCTGATACGGCCTTCTATTTTTGTACCTCTCATTTTAAATATTTAATGTCTTTCCTTCACTTGAAAGTCTTGAGCTTTTTATAATTTAAGCATGGATGTGGAACTGTATTGAAGTTCTGTTCATTTTAATAAAGTATAGATTTAATTTAACAACTGGAAGTTCTTGCAGTTACATTCATAATACAAGAATATTTGTGCTGGGGACAGGTTTTGCTAACTGTTTCCTAAGAGGAAGTAGAATGTCGTTACATACCATCAGTCTTTTCTCTGAAATAGTTGAAATAGTATTATTCTACTAAGTATTGTTCTCTTTCCCTTGAACACATGTGGGGCACAATGGATAAGTGTGCAAGTGAGAGCTTCTACTTATGTTAATCAGATATCACAGTTCCCACAATTGCAATGTACAGTTCTCTACTTGTGATTCTAGAGGGACTTGTTATTGTGACTGCTTAGAATTTTACCTAAAATTAGATGTAAGGCTGCATTTGAAATCAGTAAGAACTGAAGTTGTGGGGGGGTTCCCACCACCCTGCCCTGTTTTGTAACTTTTTTCTTTCTTTTTTTTTTTTTTTTTTAGTGCATCTAGATCCTTTTTGAATTTCTCAATTTGCTATTGAAGCTGTTTATTTTGATGTTAGACTGAAGAATAACTTTTTATGTCATGTGAAATAACACATGTATCCATAATCCTTGGATTTCAGATGGAGATATTTGTAGAACAATCCTGCACATACTTAGCGTTTCCTACTGTGAACCTGTTTAGCTGATTAGTCCTACACAAACATAGATTTCTCAGTTTGGATGGAGTTCAGTACACTGGTTTTCAGCAATAATAGCAGTGATAAGATTAATTCTGAATTTTCCTTTCACTTCCAGTATGTGTAGTTCCCTCCTTCAAGTCATCCAAGGGAATTAGGAGTGACACTGTCCCCTGAAATACCCCACATCCTTTTTTAAAATCATCTCCACTCTACCTGTAAGCACATGGCTAGGTTAGCTGTTCCTTTGAATTTCTGTTTATTGAGCATTTTTATTGTTAGATATACTTTAACCTTTTTGCTGTATAACAAAGCTACAATCCCACTGAGATCTTTAAGGAAAAATGTCTTTGAAGTCATTTTAGTGTATCAATAATGCAGTTATATGTTTCCAGAGTTACTATTATGAAAGACAAAGACACCAGGAAGAGCAAAGGAGTTGCCTTTATTTTGTTTTTGGATAAAGAATCTGCACAAAACTGTTCTCGGGCACTTAATAACAAACAGGTAAATTGTGGAAAGTCGTTACGGCAAGAGGGCTGGGTTTGCAATCCCAAAACATTTACCTTTTCTTTCCAATTTTCTGCAGTTGTTTGGAAGAGTAATAAAAGCAAGTATTGCCATTGATAATGGAAGAGCAGCAGAATTCATTCGCAGGCGTAACTACTTTGATAAGTCTAAGTGTTACGAATGTGGGGTGAGTAAAACCAAAAATGTAGAGAAATGGAGAAAAGTTGTGGGTTGAAATAAGAACAGCTTAATAATTGAAATACCATAAAATAGTAGTAATAATAGTAAATGGTAATGAAAATGAAAATAACAAAGAGAAATAAAACCCAAGAAAGGCAAGTGATGCAAATGAAAACAATTGGTCACCACCAACCAATCAATGCCTAGGCAATCCCCAAGCAACAGCCCCCCTGCCAAACTTGCCACTAGTTTTATTGCCTAGCATAATATCATCCGGTCTGGAATATGCTTTGGGTGATTTTGGGTCAGCTGTCTTGGCTCTGCATAACCCAGCCCACTCAGTGGTGAGGGGGGTGAGCGGCAGAAAAGGCCTTGACTCTGTGTAAACTCTGCTCAGCAATAGCTAAAACATCCCCACATAATCAACACTGTTTCCAGGACAAATCCAAAACTATAGCTAGCCCCGTACCAGCTGCTGTGAAGAACATCAACTATCCAGCCAAAATGAGCCCAGAATCTTAGCTGGTGTCTTCAGTTTGGCCATTGTTCATCCTGCCTGTTAATTTTTTTTTTGTTGATATTATCAACTTGCATAGCACGTTGTGTCATTTTCAGGAATGATAGTACCCCTTCTGTCTTTTATTAGAAATTCTGGGGGTGGGGGGAAAATATGTGCATATTATGGATGCTTAACACGCTGATGAGCAGATAAATCTGAGTGTCAGTATAATGCTGCTTGAGAAAGAAAATTTCCTAATCTTTGCTTCAAAATGCTTGCTTTTGCTATATCTTTAGAAGTTCACAATACAGTTGGCAGTAAAATAAGCATTAGAAACAACTGGTTTCTAGAAGTGAGTTTTAAGTTTTAGGCAGTTTGTGACTTTCCCTGAATGTAATAATGTAGGACATTGAGATTTGGAAAGTATTTAATGTCTAATACAAACTTGATTTATATTCATAACAGCAAAAAATGTTGTCTCACTCCTGTGTCTTAACTTCTTAATTCTGAGGTTTCTATCTTGCATATAAAACCATGTGCAGTATATTCAGGTATTGCAGCAGCCAAAGAAATCTTTTGTGTTCATGGCTTGTTCTTAGTTTTCAGTTAAACGTGCATATCACCAACAATCTCTTAATTCCCATGGCAAGCTTATAGAGAGGAGTTTGTCTTCTGTGTGCTATTTCAACATTCCATTTATCTTACTAATTGCTTCCATTTTTTATTCTGTGAACTGTCTTACATTAACTTCCCTCATGATATGTTTTAACATATAGTTGTTTGTAATGGTTTCTGTTAAGCAATATTTCATTTTCTCCAAGGAAGCAGGACACTTAAGTTATGCTTGTCCTAAGAATATGCTAGGAGAGCGAGAGCCACCAAAGAAAAAAGAAAAGAAGAAGAGAAAGAAAATAGTTGAGCCAGAAGAAATGTACGTATATTTAGTTACATGTTACTACTTCTTTTAGGAAGCTTTTTCATACTAAACACTTAAACTAAAGAACTTTTATTCTTTTTCTCCCTGCACAATGAAGTGAGGAGGAAGGAGAAAGTGAAGAGGAAGGAGAAGACCCTGCTCTGGATAGCCTCAGCCAAGCCATAGCTTTTCAGGTACAAAATTGAAGCATTGCATATTTATTATTATTTTTTAAATGCAACTGTATTTCCTTCTTCAGTTGCTTTTCAAAAGCTCTGAGATACATACATAGGTATGTCTGCTCTATAGCACTCAGGGGCCTCTTGTTTGGCAGCAATAGTTGGTAACTGTAGTTGCATCTTCACACTGCAGGCATGTTCAATGGGATCTTGTTTGGGTTTTTTGCACTTTCATTATTGCTGGTTGATGTGTATTTATTTTGTCTTATTGTTGCAGCTTTTTATTTCCTTCAAGCTCCTTTGCTACTTAGTTTTCTCTCATCTCTGTTCCAGTGCCCTGCTAGATTTTTGTTCACAAATCCCTCTTTACTTTGTTAACTGAGCAGATGGGAAAACACAGTTATATATGAATGAGTGTACACATCCTCTGCCCTCACTGGACTATCCTTGAACAACATCTCTTTCTAGGGCACTTCCTTTGCCTAGTACAGTCCATTGCAGTCTCTAATAGACTCATCTCTCAAAACATATTGAATGCATATTTTATTAGATAGATAGATTGTCTGACATCTTTATTACCGCCTTTATTACTTGTTTACACACTTTTGCTTCACTATACTGAGCAAACCTGATCTGGTATTCAAATTTCTTGGCTCCCTGGTCAACAACTGTTCCCTGTGTGCTGTCCCCAAAAAAACCCTCAAGAGTTATTAGCACAACTTTGTTCTGAATCAGATTGTAATGAGTGCAGAATTTTCACATGATATAGTCCAAAAAAATTAATTCAAATATGCACAATTATCCCCCCTTTCCCCAAAAACTCTACAATTGAAAATAAAACCTATAAAGCCAAGAAATATTCCTGTATCTCTCACCATCCAAAATTTTTATCTGGTAAAAATAGGAAGCTTCTGTTTAAACCTTTAGCTGAATAACCTTCAGTAATAATCCCCAAAGGCATTCATTATGTGAATGAATGACTGCAAAGGACAATTGTTAGAAGACTTGTTAGTGGAACAAAGCTGATTCAATAATGTTAGTTTAAAACATGAGGCACTCTTTGCTTCAGATCTCAGCTTCTCTATAGTTTTGGAATTTTACCCATGGCAAAATTCCTCTTTTTGAAAATACGGGATACTCCATGTGGCCTGCATTGGTGTAGAAGATTGCATGTGAGAAGTACTTTCAGAAATGTTTCCTTGTGCATCGATCAAACACTTTACCTGGAAACGTAGATAAACCCTTGTCATTCTCCAACTTATTTAATGATTAAATGCGTATGAATAATTAGCATTATTATTTGTAATACATCTTAATTTTATTTAGTCCTAGCTAATACTTTTCCTTCTTTCATTGTAGCAAGCCAAAATTGAGGAAGAACAGCAACGATGGACACAGACTGCAGGGGAATCTTCAATTTCAGATGATTCAAAACGTCCACGGATTAAGAAAAGTGCTTATTTCAGTGATGAGGAAGAACTTAGTGATTGAAATAATACTATTCTATATGTATATATAATATATGTAGTGTACCTTTTGTAAAGTGATACAAGGTGATCTGTAATATAAGTTTGTTTTGGTGTTGAAGACACTGAAAATCCTGTTGTGTTTTATCCTGTCCTCTCACCCTCCTGTCTTTTTATACCTTTGTCTCAAAACTTCACCTTTCAAGGCAGCTTCTTCAGAAAATGATGTGTTCCTACACTTAAATCCAGAAGAGTATCTATGAGAATTCTTCTTACAGTTACTGTCTAGACCCAAACCCTGGAAGTGAAATCTTTCCTAAGAGAATTTCTGACAACTTTTTTCCCATGAGAATTCCTCTGAAGATGACTGTTACCACTACTGATTCTTTATGTATTGGTCTGTTTATTGCCTGTTTGGAAGCAGGAGGCTTTAGCAGTACTTTGGTGGATTATGAATCTTGGATTGTTCCTCTTCATAGTGTTAAATTTCAGCTTTAAGCATTGTACTAGTCTTTTAACTCCTCATGCAATAGATGATAAATTACTGTCACATCAGCATTGTTTCTCCTGACTGCAGTTTGGGTGCCTAACATGGTAATTATGGTTATCCATGGGGTTTTAAATATACTTGTATCTAACCTGGGTCACAGTTCTATGTTCACAACCCTCTGAACCTGTTGGTAAAATGCAAAAGGCACAAAGTTTCCTACATACTTTAATTATCTTTGATGTATACTTGGAACCATCGCAGTCTCTAAGCAAAGTGTGTCGGCACCTAGTTTGCACATAAAGCTGTCAAGACCTTTAAAATAGTGTCTCCATTCTTACCTCTCTAGGGTTCTAGTCATGTTCTCCTGTACTAGTGATTATTCCCAAAACCACAGACACATGGTGGTAACCGTTTTAAAAAAGTCTAAACTTTTCACTTTTAGAAAGCACAACATTAAATACTTTCACACTTGGAAGAAGAGATGAGCTGGCTTCTTTTTCTGTTTTCAGTTCTTCCTGTTTAACCATCAGGACTTGATTTTCTTCCAAATATTCCATTATCTGTTCTTAATATTAATTTACATTCAAATACATAAGGTGCAAAGCAAAGAAACACACGCGCACACACTCTCTAAGCTAGCATAAAGTAGTCTCATTCAGAAGGTCATTCTTGTCCTTGTTTTGCTCCATAAACACAAGAATTCAGAAACAAGAATAAGGCAATAATAGATTTTTCTCTGCAAGCTACTCAAACCGTTGGAATAAGGAGGAATATTGGGTTCTAGACATAGGAAGGTCTTGGGCTCAGTAATCAAAGAAATGTTTTTAAGACTGACTTTGACTTTTTGCTGAAAGTACTATATATTAAATCTGAAGCTTCCTTGACGGAATTTTGGAAGATCTCTTGATACTGAATAGCAGAGTGCTAAAGTGCCAGGCATAACTTGGTAATAATAAATGCAAATCACTCTACATTGTGTATGTAAGAATGAAGCCTGAGGAGTTCTAAACTCTGCTAAGGAAGAAAGTCTTGCTGCCAGCATGCTTCTCTACAAGTGCTAGGTTAGGGCCTAGTGACAATCAAAAAAAAGATGAAAGCAAAACAAGCAAAAATATTGGGCCACTACTTAAAATGGGAGTTTGTCTTCAAGTACCGTATTCGGTGCTGTTTTTAAAAAAAGATAGAAAACTGAAATGTGACAGAGGACCAGTTTGACATTGTCCATGACTTTGGTTTGGGAATATTTGGTAGCTTGTAAGAGTTAAGATTTCAGTGAAGTGATTAGGCAGCAAGTTTCAGACTTGTAATTCATTACACTATGTAATGTAGTAGTGGAACTTACTGCTAGGAGACTTAAGGGTCATGCAGTCAAATGGATTAGACTTGTATGTGAAACAGATTTTCAGATGTTAGTTTTAATAAAGTCTCCACTCAGAAATATCCTCAGTTGCTGGCTACCTCTAACAGTTAAAATATACAGAGGAATTAACATAGTCTAGGAATGTATTGTTCTTACACAAGTTACTGTTTCATATTTGCTACTGGTGTGTTGTCAGAAAGCATAAAACCCAAAATGGAGCCTTATTCTGACCTAATAAAGTACTTTTTCAAGAGTTGCAGTAGCTGAAGCAAGTTGATATATCTTTCTAGTCTGCTTGTCCTGTCTCACTGCTTTCCCAGTAGGATTTGCTCTTGTCAGCATGAAGCAGTAGCTCAGTCCAGACTATTACATCTGACCCAGTGTTGTTCCTCCATGCTCTTGTTCCAAGCATAAAATCACTTGAGGTAGGTAACATTGGAAGAGAAAAATAAAAATGAGCCTGCTTCTATGCATAATGGGCATCTAGAATTCCTTACCTTAAATCATCTTGCTGTAACAGTTTTCTTAACTCTGAACTTTTATTGTTTAGCAGTGCTTATAGTTTTTGCCTTAGAGTCAGGGTAAAGAAGAATACACCTAGTGCCTAAATCATGATCTAGAGGGACTTGGGATGAATCTGATTTATGCACTTGACCTTCTGAATAATTTTAAATGTCTTTTCTTTGTTGGCAAGATAAAAAAGCATTTCTAGGTGAGCACTAACCTAGAGCACTAACATTGGATAACCATTAAGTTAGATAGCGTGAGTACCTGTTCTACTTGCTTAAATCCAAAATTGTTTTTGGCAGCACCCCTGATGCAGCTGCCTCATCCTGAAAAAAAGGCCAGAATTTGTCAATGAAGTCTCTTTCTGATCTTTGAACCGGGAGAGGTTTGCTCCTGTTCATGTCCACTATCACCTACTATAAGCAGCATGGCTTCAAGTTGCCATCTGAGTCCCATCAGCGCTGAGGAGCAAGGGGGAGTGTTAACTAGGCTCCTGATTTAGATCAGGCCAATAGGGTGCAATTATTGTTGCTTCAGCAACAGAGTGGTGTTTTTGCCAGTTTGGTATCATAAACCACCAACTCCAGAAACAGAAAACAGTGTTGGTGGGTGTATGGCTCTGGGCCAGACAAGGTGAGACTGTGTAGCCTTGTTATCAAAAGAAAAATAAAAATCACATTGCAGAACACCTTCCTGTTAAAAAAACCACACGATTGTCTTCTGAGGGGGTTGTGTGTAGGAGGTGTGTTGGTTTGGGGTTATTTTTAGTACTTTGAGGAGTTAGCTTAGGCTAGCAAGCTGACTGCTAGTTTTAGAGTAGAGATAATATGGCTTTCATTAGTAACAGACTTTTTTTTCTAATAATGTCAAAAACTTGGATCTTTCTGCAAACATCCACTTATTAGGTTTTGTCTTTCATAGTTTCCAAACAGCTTGAAAATTGTCAAAATGTGTTCTGGGTCATAGGACCTCTCGTCTGTTGAAATGGCTAAGAGAGTAGTCTCTCAAAAGCCACTAGGAGATGCCTTTTATCTGTCCTTGTGGAAGAAGGGGCTATGGAAGAGAGATAAGGATGATCAGCTTAACTGAATGTAAATGGTATTACTCACACTGTGTCTTTGCAGCACTTGTTAAAACCATTGCAGCTATGAGACACAGGAGTAATTTTAGTCCATGTTTAGCAGGCTCCCACTATGTTCTTGGCATATTCAGATTACTACTCTCAACAGAGCAATAGGAGGGACTGCAAATACAAAGAACTGTGTGTAGCTAAATAGGTGATGTCTGGAACAAATTATGAACACTGGCTTCTAGGTCACTGTGTTCTCTGGGATAGCCCTTTAATCTGCAGAGATGACTTACTGTAGCATGGGAAGGTGAGCTGTGCAGACTGTCTAGCTGTAATCTTCTAAGGCAAAAATTGTTAAATTGCTTAGAAAAGCTAGATGTAAAATGCGATATTTTAAAATGCCATTTATGAAGTGCTACTAATAAGCATTTCTATTTTGCATCTGCAGTGTCAGTATGTTTATATATTCTGTCACTATTCCACCATTACTCTTCTATAAAAATATTTCAAACAATATTCTTCCAAATGTGCTATCTTAAAATAACTGGTATTGGATCTTACTTCTTTTTAATATAAATTACAAACCCACTTTTAGATATCCTTTACTCAGCAGCTTTATTTATCTTAACAGAGTGAGGGGTTTTTTTTCTGTTGCTGTCAAAGGCAATATTAAAAATTACTACACTGTTCCTTCTTTAGAGAAAAAGGTGTAAAATGGAGAGTTTAGTCACTTTTAACATACGTGACCTTGTTTTTCATATTTATTCTGGTATCTGTAAAACATACCCTATTAAAGCAATAAGCTGAGACTCTCCATGTAAAAAAAAAAAGCAATACTTCTTAAATTGAAGAATTGTACAGGTTTGAGAAACAAACCTCCATCATTGTCAGGCTAACCCTGACCCTGCTGTGTGTTCAGACAGACAAGATGTGTGTTTATGCATGTATTTTATGGATGTGATGAGTAATACAGCAAGCAGAGGGTTACAGAACTTGTGGCAGTAGAATGTGATAAAAGGGTGTGAAACATTTAACCAACTCAGTAAGGCAATGTAGGTCACAGTGGCTTGAAGAAATACCACAGTTACTAATCTGAGAAGTTTCCTGTCTGATGAATAGGATGCTCCAGAGAATCAAAAGCAACTCTGAGGTTTTAAGTTCATCAAATGCAACAGCCACAACCCTCCATCAAGATGAGCTAATCCATGAAAATTCAATGTGCAGTTACAGAGAATTAGAAGGCATCCAAATTTAGATACTGCAACAAGCTCCGTGCGGTACAGCAAAAAATGTCACCTGGTTGCAGGAGTAAAGATGCATTATTTTAACTGTGTATGTGGAGGCAGAGCATGTAGATGTGTTCTGCTCAAAGAATAGATGTGGGTATGGAAGAAGGAGAGACCCAAAATAGAACCAAAAGGGATATTAAGGACTCTGTGGCTATGCTGTGAAGTTCTAAGGTGCTGAACTGTATTTTCAGAGTGGGATAGAACTGATTGTACTGTGTTTGCTTAATTGAAGAATGAGTGTCTTATGTCTGAAAATTATAAACCTTTCGATAGTACAAGTTTGTACTGATGTTCAAATGCTCAAGAAAATGAGGCAAACTAAAGGAGGATACATTTCTACAAAGACCCTCACTTGGGATGTCTTTGATGTATGAATTTGATTAGGTGGCAAACAGCCATCTGCCCATGAAGCCTGGAGCCATGAGGGTGCATATAAAATTAAATGGCTGAGCAGCCTGTGGCAGTTAGGAAAGATGAGAACATGCAGTACTTAGATGTGATGGTTTTGAGTTCATGAACCTTGTATCTGGCATGAGTGATTGTGGTGCTTGATATTATGTTCTTTCAAAGAAAGTTTTTGAAGATTCATCAGCTAGATTTATTTTTATTTGCTGCAGCATAACATTTTTAAGGAGTGTTTTTACTGTGGGAGGGTTTCAGAGGAAAAGCTTAACAGTAGAAACTCAATTAATTAAAATCTGTAACACAGTTCTGCAGCAAGGGTGGATTCTCTGCGAGTCCCATGCTTGTGGCATCCTGGAGAATGCAGGGCCCCAGGGCCTTATTCATGTTCATATTTAATTTAGCTGAAACTGCTGGAGAATGTCCAGAATCCTCTCTTCATTTGCTGCACAATTTAGGTCAAGCCCATAACAAAGTACTTGAGTTCAGGACAAAGTAGCCCTTGCAAAACTTTCACCTTTTTTCACTCTTATGTTATTTGTTCTAGGATGGTGGATTTCTTGCCGTATTGCACACCTTTGAAATGGCAAACTGGTTGACAGGAAGTTGCTTAGTTCCCTTCATCCTAATGTGGTAGGAGTAGTGTACACAGATTACTCTGCTGCTTTAAAGAAGGGGCAAGGAGTAATTATTGTAACAGCATTCTCTGGATGCGATTTCACTGCTTCCAGTGGCTGGGAGCCAGAGAAGGAGGGAAGGAGGCAGACAGGACAAAGAATGAGTAAGCCAAATTTCCATCCAGAATAAGTGTACATGAGTTACACTAAACATTTTCAGGTTTCTCTCTACAGATTCTCCTCTTAACTGTAATTTAGATCAGAGTTTCTGTGGATAAAATTTATGTGGCTGTCTGGATTACATAGGTGTAATAGGTCTAACTGCAAAGACTGTATTTCAGTCGCATAGAAGCATAACTTATATTAGTTTAAAAGAAAGTTGCTACATTTTCACGTTATCTTCATGCTTTAACTGGCTTCTCCTGGGACGCAATGACACCTGTCTGATAGAAGAACTATTTATTGTGAACTATTTTTATGTAGGTGTTATATTTAAATAGATTCTGACATGAGAGGCTTGAATGTAGACAGCACAGTAGCTCTGTGGAAATCAACAGGATGTATTCTTGGTAGGAGAGGAAGGAGAACTTCAGAAGTGAGAAAAAAACAAGGCAAATACCAGGTGAGACTGAGAATATTGGTAATGCACAGTTCAGAATAAGTGGCAAAAGGGAGCAAAATAGTTTAAAAATCAACACACACAATCACCTGTAGCATTAATCCCCCTCTATTTAAAGAAGACTCTTACAGGAAATGAGTGATTTTGCATGTTGCAGTGAAGGCTTGTTTTTCACGTTGAACTCAGTTATCTGATTTTCTCAGGTGCTAGACTTCACAGCAATATGGCAAAGGTCAATACGGCTCAGCTTTTTTTGAAAACGAAAGCCACAAATGACTTCTCCGTCCATCTTTTGTGTCAGCAGTTATTGTTCAAGAGCACTTAAACCAATAATAAACTTGTAAGAGCTAATGATGCTTCTGAAAGCTAGTGTCTCTTAAACTCACTTCCCATCTCTCCTGTCCCTCCTTCCCCCATGGGATTGTCATTGTTCAGAATTTTCTCTAATTTTTCCAACTGTCTGGATGACAAAGTTGTCCTGTCTCTATTCATTTCTCCATTGATATGATCTATGCTCAGAGTTTTTTCCTTATTCATAACATGCTGTTTGTTTTTCTGCTTATGATAATTTCCTCCCTAGATTCTTGACTTTCAGATGGAGAGATTTCTGTTCTGTGGCTTCTTATCTGTTGATATCCAGTCTACAGACCAGCTTCATGATATCTCATTGTAACTGTACTTTACCTGCAAGATGTTTTCAAAAAAAAAACCAATGTTGCTTTCCAGCTATGCCATTCATTTAGTTATTTT